TAAAAGAGATATGAATATTCTCTGATAGTCAAGCTGCTTTAAAAAGACTTAGAAATAGTCAGATTGATAATGATCAAATGAATCTTGAACTGATTTTAAACTCTGTTTTGAAAATTCAAAGAAGAAGAACATCAAAACTGATAATTCATCTGCTCTGAGTTCCTGCTCATATGAATATTCATGGCAATGAATTGGCTGATTCAGCTGCAAAAAAGAGTTCAGAATTAAGCAGATCTATTCAAAAAATTGTGTCCTGGTCTTTTATAAAAAGAAAGATAAAAGAATCTTGTTTAGATAAGTGAAATGAAAGCTGGTAGAAATAAAAGAAGAGTATACATTATTCAAGATTTAAAACAAAACTCAAGTGAAAATCTTGTTCAATTAAATGTAAAAAGAAAATATTCTCATCTATGATTCAGCTGAAACTAGAATATGACTATTTCAAATGTTATATACAAAGATTTGATGATAGATTTAATTCAATAGAATGCTCATTCTGCAATGTAAATGAAAATCATGAGTATATTATAATATACTGTGCATTATACAATAGTCTCAGAGTCAGATTGAAAGAGAAGTATAATCTAAATCAATTAAATATAAGATTCTTATTCTCAACTGAGACAGGAATTAAATACTTAATAGACTTTCTATCAGAAACTCAAGCAGCTATAAGAAAATGATTAAATTCAGAAATATCTGAATATGAAGAAGAGAAAGTTGATCAGATATAGTCTGTTAAAACAGCTATACACTATCTTTTAATAATTTGTTTTATTATAGTCTCTCTTTACTTTACTTTTTCCTTTCTATTCTTTTCTATCTATTTATTTAATGTGTCTATCTTTAAGACTATGTTCTCTTTTCTTTTGTCATGATATTGTCAAATGGTTTTAAAGTATCAGAAGATGTTACAATACCGCAATTTGTAAACAGTTTTTATATTCTGAGCTGAAATTTTCTGATTTTACATATCTGAAATTGATAAATGTATAATAGTTGACTTTATAGATATAGGAAAAACTCTGAAAACTAAAAGTTCTCTGATAGATGTCATAGTCTCTGACTGCATACATCTATAATTGAAGAATAATAATAATAATAATAATAATCAACCCCCCTTCCAATATGATAATGAAGACGTTGTATAATTATATATTTTCATGTTTAACAAGTTTAGTTCTGCTGAATACACCTATCAGACCTATGATAAGAAACTTCTCACAATCATCCACCATCTAGAAGAATAAGACTCCGAACTCTAAAGTGTCTTCAAATTTAAGATACTCAC